TGAAACAAATGCAACAACTGATTGTCCTTATTGTGATTATAAAACAACTGATATTGAACAATTTAAACTTCATATTATAGCTCATATACGTGATAAAAATTATCGATGTTTATTATGCAATCGTTTATATAAATATAGAGGTATGATAAAAAAAAAAAAAGTTTTTGTTTTGTTTACTTGTTTTTCTATTTGACTTCATTAACTCATTAATTTCTCATTATTATACAAAAAAGGTGATTGCTCATTTCATATACGTCGTAAACATCACCGATATAGTACAAATTCCAACGATTATATTCAACGGTTTTTATTTGATACAACTGATGGCGATGAAACTATGTCAAAACAATCCGGTGGACAACATGGAACATCATTAAATAGTTCAATTCATAATATAAATACATCACGTGAACAAGATGAACCTGTACGATATTTTGGTTGTCCTTATTGTGATTATACATCAAATTATGGTGGAGATGTTCGGTAAAACAAAAATAAAATAAGTTCTTTATTTTTATTTTTCTTTCTATAGAAAACATCAAGCACGTAAACATCCAAATGTTGAATCAAAAGTTATAAAAATAATTCGACAAGATGCTGAACATCAAATGTCTTCATCATCATCAAATAATAATAATAATAATAATAATAATAATAATAATAATATTATTAAGTCTAATAATATATCAAATGATGATACTATTGATGATGATAATCATGATCAAGATAATACAAATATAATAACTAAATCAAATATTAATTTAATTGAACAACAAGAACGTAAAGAAAAAATAAAAACAATTAAAAAAACTGATGCAAATTTTATTCAACAACATTCATCAACATTATCAATATTACCAAATTTTGCACCTGTTCGAGTTTTTCAATGTAGTTCATGTCATCAACAAGGAACATATAAATGGGTTGTTGAAAGACATATACGTGCTAAACATCCGGAACAACCCGATGTACATGTTATTGAATTACCAGCTGAATTAGCTGTTAAATTACAAAAAATAACACCACCATTAAAACGTTTTCGTTGTTCATTATGTCCATTACAATCGAAACATACATGGGTTATTATTCGTGTATGTATATGAAATTTTTATTTAAAACAAACATTTAATAATATTTTTGTTTTTAGCATATTAAACATTTTCATACATTACAAACAGCATCCGTTCTAGATATACAACCAGATGGAACACCAATAAATGATGAATCATATTCATTTCAAAATGGTAAATATATCTATCAACGAAATAGAAAAGTTCAAATACTTTTTTTTTCTATTGAATCAGTGTGTTTCATTCTAGATTGATCTATGAATACGAATAATAGACAGTAAACAAAATAGTTTGATTGTGAATAGTAGGGGCGTAACCACATTGGTTGAGAATATTGTATGAAAAAAAATGTTTTCGCGAAGAAAGGTACACAATTGATCCGTATCGTTTTCGCTAAGATTTTGTATGCATATGGAGAATTTTATTTTAAGAAAAAGTCTAAGAGGATTTGGATTGAAACAGCTCCTTCCATTAGATATAAATATTGCCAGTTTGATATTAAGAGAGAAATTATAAGAATAAAATTTTGTATAACTTGTGATAGAACTGCTCTAACAAGTTTGAAACGACTCATCAAAAACATGACTGACCTATCATAGATGCGGCAGACTTTTTTGATATGCGATCGAAGAGGGTATATTAATGGCGTCTCGTTCTAATATATATGTACTACTACTTCCTTATTACATTTCTAAACGGTTAAGTAAAATGACGGTAAAGAAATGAATGTCAAAAGAGATCGAATAAAATAATCATCCTGTGATTAACTACAGCAGCTACATTGTGTTTCACATTTTAATCTTGTAGAGATTGCAATAACAGCTTTTATGAAAAAATAAATATGCTCACATCTATTGACAGCAGTTGCTTCAAATCCATTAGAGACTTTTGATCATAAGTTAAAAAACAGAGAAATTAGTACATCTTTTACATATGATTTTTCATCGAATTCTCTTTAGTAGTTGTGAGAAATATTAAATAATTCTTTAAAAACAAAACTTTATTTAGGAGATCTTTCAAATAAATCCTATAATCATGATTCTGAATCATCATCAATAAGTAGTTCATGTATGGAAACTGGAACTGATGGACAAAATGATTTATTTCGTCAACAAGATGTTGAAGATGATGATGATGAAAATGATAATATTCGTACAGCATTAAATAATAATTCAAATAATACAATGATATTAACATATAAATGTTCATTATGTGAATTTACATCAAATATTCCATGGAATATTCAAAAACATATCAATGATGTACATCCAGGACAATCAAATGCTCATATGTTAACACAATATCGAACAACAATAAATGATAAAAATCAAAAATTAACAACAAAAAAATCTAAACATAAAAATGGTAATCAAACAACAATAGCAACAGTAACAAAAATACCAATACGAGCTCCATTATCTCCAACAAGTGCATTAGCTAAAGCAAAATTTTCACCAGCTGTTGAAGAAGCTTTACTTTCATTACAAGGTGCAAAAATAAATGGTGGTCTTTATGCTGTACAACCAAAATTTGGTATTAAACGTTTAAAATGTCGTCATTGTTTTTATCGTTCAAATTGGAAAACTGATATGATTCGACATGTAAGAATACGACATAATTTAACTGAACCTGATCATAATAAAGGTAAAATGAAAAGAATATTTAGAAAATTTTAATTATTAATTTTATTTTATTTTTTTAAATTAGATATGATTCTAATGAGTGAACAAGAAGCACGTGGAACAATTGAAACATATGAAAATACATTTGGAAAAGAATTACGACGACGTACATTTCGAACATGGAATGATTGGGCTAAAGCTGAAGAAGAATTTACACCTAAAGATGGTTCACTTCAATATGTAAATAAAATGGAAAAAAAAATCTTTTTGTTTTTCTTTTTTTGAATTATTAATATATTTTATTTTAGAGTGATACTAATGGTGAAACATTATCTAATGATAATAATAAATTGAAGAAAAATTCTCTAACAACTGGACAAATAACATCATCATCATCATCAACGACAACAAATAATGATGAAGTAAAACGAATAAATAAAACTAAAGTTAAACATACATCTAAAATAATAACACAAAATAATACACAATCATTATCAAATACGAAAGAAGTAACAAAAATTAATTTTTTTGTATTTAATTAAAAATTTCCTTTTTTTTTTGTTTTGTTTTTAGTTTAAACAATTACCTAATCCATCAAATATTGTTTCACGTCTTCTATTAACAACATCACCTTCACACAATAATGATGATGATGCACCATTAGATCTTTCACTTAAATCATCATTGAATACTAAAACAAATCAACAATCATTATCATCAAAAGAAATCATACAACAAAATGGAGATAATAATAATCGAGAAAAACAAAATATGGATGATGATTTAGATGATGAAGATGAAGAAGAAAATTCTGATGGAACATCAACTGTTACATATATATGTTCTGTGTGTCCATATAAAAGTTCATATTTATCTTCAGTTCAACGTCATTTAACAATTCATTTAACTGGTAAAGGTATTATTTGTCCACTTTGTTCTTATGCAACATCATCTCATAATTCAATGAATCGTCATATGAAAATTGTACATCCAACTAGTCAAACAATAATTAAATTTCAATCAGCAACTCGAATAACAAATGCAAATATAATCGAACAACATCCATGTCCATTATGTTCATATCAATGTGAACGTTCCGAAGCATTAGATCTTCATCGTCGTCTTGAACATGATGATGAAGAATTTGATATTGATTCATCATCAAGTACTGGTGATGGTGATAACGAAGATGAAATAGATAATGATGATATGCATGGATCCTTCGATAAAAATAATAATCTATTTCAATGTCCAATATGTACACCTTCGTCAAATACAAATAATTATTCAAATCTTGAACAGTTTACAATGCATGTATTTACTCATCATAATAATTATATGCATAACAATCAATCATGCCCATTTTGCTCATTTATTGCTCATACAACATCAAAATATACATTAACCGAACATATAAAACTTCATTTTAATGGTACACTTGTTCAACCAGATCCAGTTGTTGGTATTGAAAATGTAAAAGAGTTATTAATTGAATAAAAAAAAAAAAAAAAGAAAAATTATGCATGACATATATTTACATGTATTTCGAGTTTTTATATTGTTATTATTATTATTTTTTTCCTCTCTTTTTTTCTTCTTCTTATTACGGTGGTAGTTCTACTTTTTGCTTTAATTCTTTTTGTTATGGTAGTGAAAAAACAATAATATTAAGAAGAAACAGTATTCAACTGTGTTATCATTCCAAATTGTTTGGTTTCATTTTTTTTTTGTTTAACCTTGAAAAGTCAATTGTGAGTTTTTCTCGTTTATAAAGAAAAAAAAATATATATAAAAATATATATTAAATTGATTTTGTTTTCTTTCTTCCTTTCTTTTTTTTTTTTTTTCATTTCAAACAAATATCTTGATACAAGAAAAAAGAAAGACTTTATAATCACTGAAAAACAAAAAGAAAACAAACAAAAGATATAAAATGTTTTAATTTAATTTACGTTTGAATTATTAAGTTTTTTTTTCTTTTTCTTCTTTCGTTTTTTAATTTGCTTTATAAGAAGATTTTGTTGTTCAATTGTTGTTGAATTATCTAATGAATTTGATTGATCTATTTGATCAATTATTCGATCGATTGCTGAAACAAGTGGTTTTGTTGGAGTATTTTGTTTACGTCGTTGATGTTTACTTATAATAGGACGAATAATTGATTCAGATGATGTATTACGTGAAGGTAATTGAGCATATTTTGAATCTTCTTTATGATAATCTTCATCAGATGTTATTGTTGGTTGTAATATTGAAGTAAATGAAGTTGATGATCGATCAATAAAATATGTTGAATTATTATCTTGACTGAGATTATCATTATTATCTTCATCAGAATCGAGAATAATAAATTCAGGTATAGATTTCGATTGTGTAGATGAATCATTTGTAAGAATAATAGGTGAAGAAGATAAACTAGTTTTTACTGATTTGATTGGTGAAATTTCAATTATATCATCTATAAAGTGATAAAAATAAATGAAACTACATTTAGGAATATTTTTTTTTTCTATGAAATCAACGATCGATTTTTTTTTGTATATATTAAGAATATAGAAGAATTAAAAGTGAGTTTCAGAAAATGTTTTACATGTTATTAACTAATTAAATAATAGATTGGGTTGATATTGTATGAAATTGAAAATCATAAAACTTTCTAAAAGTTGACGAGTTCATTGTGTTTAAAAACAATGAAAGACGCTATTCTGTAATGGCATAACTGAGACGGAGACTTAACCTCCCCCTCATCAAAAGGTTTTGAGTCCTCTCTACAAACGGTTGAGTTTCTTCTAAAAACATTATCAGAGAGTTTCTGCCCTCACTTCAGATATGGTCAGGGAGGCTGAGCCTCCTCAACAACTTTTTTCTGGTTAAGCAACTACTGTCGCTTTTTGTAAAATCATCATCATTGAGTGACTACATTGTGATATACATCTGCTCTTGTGCTTAGTTAGTGAGTATGGGGAGCTCAAGCAATTGGACACAAGAGCTCTGCGTCAAGCAATTCTTCTGTCCAGAGCTACAACTAATCATAGTCGTGGGAAAGATAACAGGCTATTGAATATGCAACTAGGTAATATCTTATATCGCAAGGCAGCTGGAATGCAGAGCTATTCTTCCTTATTTCAAAGCAACCTTCATGAAAAGATAGAGGCTACAATCTTCTAACCTCGTTGTATTTGTAGCACTTTGTATCGATTCTACTATTCTCTACTCTATCGGTTCTGACATTCTACAAATGTTTATCGTCCTCTTGGTCTAGGGTAGATTTTTTATGTACACTTCTTAAACATCATTCGAAACCTGATATTTGTTTCTGAATTTATTGTGCTATTTTCCTTTTCTTTGTTATTTCATTTCTAAATAGCAGTGACAGACATAAATATACAATGAATTATGCATACATTAAAAAAAATTCATTTTCGAACTCATTACTTTTAAATCAAATTGTGTTCAATTTGCTGTTGTAATATTACTACGATGTAGTGCATATGAAATTATTAAATATATTTCTGAGAAAAAATTTTATATTGCTCTCAAACGTTTTAAATTTTTAAAAGTTCACTATTTAGTGTCAAAAAAAAATGAATAGTTAATCTTTTGGCAACGGGAAACGCATATATATGTTTTGAGCTTTTGTGCAGATTTCAACTTGTACAGTAATCGATCTTCACTAAGTCATAACAATATTCTCTTCTTTCCTTATTTTGCTACTATCACACAGCATCATCGTGTGATAAAATTATACATGTATATCAAGGGAAAATAAGGAATTTTGAATCTGAAATTACTCGAGAATCTATGGAATTTCTATACGCAATATCTTTTAGAACAACGTGAAATTAAACAGAACTCCATAATATCCTGTCAAATGGAGTTGTTGTTGTTGTTGTTATTACTAAAGCTCTAATGTTACAGATCATCAAATGTTAAATTTTGTGAGATCTGTATTATGATATAGGATTTCAAAATTCTCCATAGAACCATCTGCAGAATTCTACAAGATTCTGCGCCATTCTACTTGACAGTACAATTCAATAATCTTATGAAGTTCGATGGTTCATTAAAAAATCCGCTATTTCTATTGATTTATACGTTCACTTCAAGCTTTTATGAAAAAAATCACAATGTTTGCATCGCTTCAAAAAATATTTCGTCGTCAAAAGGTTATGCGTAAATTATGAAAAATCGAAAAAGTTAATCGTCATAGAATTTCGACTATTCAAAAAAAAATCAAACTGTATCGACTAATTATAAAATAATCATAACAATTTATTGCATCAGTACACACAGATAATTATGTTCTTTGAATATTTGTTAATTAAAGATATATGTAATGATTGTTTCACAAATAATCGAAAATTTCTCATCAAGAGATACTCAAATTTTTGCATTTCATCAATAACAAATATATTGTCTAGAATGATTTCTATGTTAATTAACACATGTTTTAAAATGAGTTTATAATATTTGTTAACATCTTATTGAAAAATATATTATGATTAGAGATATGCGAGACGAAGTTTTCTTTTAGTCATGATTCCGATGATTTTAATTTTTGTTTTTTAGGTCTCATATCAATCTAGTAGAAATTATTCGAAAACTTCTTCGGATCAAATCTCAATAAGCCTTAAATATACGTGTCTTCGATTAATTCAGTTGGAGAAAGTCATTGTTTTAAGTTTTCTCTCTTGAATCTGTTTTGAAAGGTATGATTTATAAGATCATTTGCTCAAATTAACATAACATTTAACTGTAATCTATAATCCGGGTCCTATGAGTCGGAAGCTTGACAGAATTGTAACACTATAATAGTGAAACAGAAGCCTTACGTAATTCAGAAGTAAATTTGATTGATCGAGAGGTTAATTTGACTGTTATAAAATGAGAAGAGTAAAAAAAAATAATTCATACCGGTTTGAACTGATCGGTATCGGTAAGGAAAAAATCCTATCGATCATAACTCTGGGACTGGGACCACAACAGTAACCAAAACCAGTTCCCTATATCTTTAATTCTGATACTTCACGATTATTTTTCTCGATCATGTTTATATAATGTTGAAAAATCATAATCTCAAATAAAATCGTTTGTTTTTTTTTCTTACCACTTTCTAATGAGTTGTTAACTTGAATAGTTGATTTATCATCCTCATCATTTATAGTTAAATCAAAAACATGATAACCATTTTCTATTTTATTATTTATTGAATTAGATTTTGTTTTTTTCGATTTATTTCTCTTCATATCTTTTTTATAACGTCGTTGAAAATCAGCATAATATTTTGGATTAATATATTCTTGTGGTAGATTCATTTTACATTTAAGCCATTCCGTATGTGCATCACTTGTTCGTTGATATAATTCACGTATTAATATTGTTCGAACATTTTCTATTGTTGAACAAGGATGAAGATGTCCAATAATTGAATCATGTGTACTTGTTGGTAATTGTGTTCTAAAGAATTAAATAAAAAAACAAAAATTTCTTTTTTTTTTTTTTTTATTAAATAAATCATACTGATTTAATAAATCTTCTTCATTTTCATCTGAACTTGTTAGAATAACATCTGTTTCTAATGATGGTTTGCTATGACAAAATATTAATATATAAATAGAATTTAAATATTTATTAATTTAAACCTTTTTAATGTTGATGAATTAATATTTGAAAGAGGAATAAAATCACCTAAAGATTGAGCTGGTTTATTTAATGATGTATTATTTCCATTTTGATTAATACTTTATAAAAGAACAACAAAAAATAAAAATAAAACAGCAAAGCAAATAAAATTTAATATGAGAAAAAAATTATTTTACTATTCATTGTCAGTTTGATTATTATCTGAATCAACATATTTTGATGGAAATAATCGTTTAAATATTAGATCTCGTTTTATTTGATAATTTTTAGATGTTTCTTCATTATTATCATTAAAAAAAAATATGAGAAGAAGTGGATTTTCGAGTTTCTGTCCGTTCAAAATAACGTGTATAAATCGCCGGAGTAAAATCCGACTTTCGACCAGAATTATTCGACATTTAATCTATGAAATTCAGATAGAAAAAAAAAGGATGAGCCAATAACTTCATGGTGATTTTATTGGATAATTGAATAAACAAATTAAATTTTTATTTTAAAAAATGAAATTGTTTTCTACAATGACTAAACTCGTGGTTTCTTTTATTTAAAAATACAAAAATTTTTAACATAAAATTTAATATTGAGGAAAAAAAAATACAAATTTATCTATATTGAAAGTGGCGTTCCTATCATTTTGTTTATTATTGTCATTGATTTAATGTATTTATTGTTCTGTCGATAAAATTTTTCTTTCAATAATAATAATAATAATAATAATAATATATATTTATTTGTTTATTTCTTATTGCCAAATAAGTAATATGCCTATTAATGAACCAACATCATCAGGTAAAAATAAATTAGGTTTAACATTACCCGAAGTACCAAAAGATTCAAGTGATCAAAATCATAGT